CCTCTGTCACCTCGGGCTCCTGCGGGAAAACGCTCTGGAGAAATAGCGTGTGTTCCCGGGCAAAAATCGACATAGGAAAAAGTTTATGGGCCGCGATCAGTGGTTATTTTTATCCTGAAAGAAAAAAATATCGTCCCTCAGCACATCTCCTTGATTCTATAGCAGCCTGTGGAGTTCACCTGATTACTCAGTAAGGGGAAAAAAATGTGATTTACAACCCAAAGAGTTTGTTTTTACCGTGATGAGTTTACTGATATTTTTAAATTCTCTCAAAAGTAACTTTAGAAAAGAGAAAATAACACCTGAAACAGCTATCTTGTTTTTCTAGTCTTCTTTTTTTTTCCTTTTTTTTTTTTTAATCTGTACTGTCAATACTAGGAAAGGTTTTTCAATATAAATACAAGAAATATTTTACTTCTTTAAAACTCCAATTAGAAATTACAATATTGGAATCTCTACGGAGGGGTGTTGAGAAGTAATGTCACAATATTATAGCAGTTGATCCAACCGATTGGGTTTATCAAGTGCCAAATACTGTGAAGCGAGAAATATTTCTCCTCCTCCTCCCTTTTATATATACACACACTCCGGTATCCTTACGTATGCACTTGTAAATACATATGTGTGTGTATGTATATATATATAAATATATGTGTAAACGTGCACGTTTTATATGTGTGTACGCATATATTTATATATGTACAAACTCTTATATTTATATATGAAAGTATACTCATGTATATCTATATACCGGATGTATATGCCTATATACTTATATAGAGAGACTTTTATCTATATACTTATATACTTACCTATCTACATATATATAATATATAACCTGTATATACTTTTAAATACATAATTTTATTATATTTATATAGGCTTTTATGTGTGTGTATGTACGCGCATATCTTTTTATATATTTATACATAAATACGTGTGTGCGTGTGTGCATGTTTACACACAGATGTACTAGAGCTTGTGTAAAACACAGCCCCCGAGTTTCTACGAGAGAAATTACTGTCCGGTTGAGTGGCCCGGGAGCCGACCTGAGCGTCCCTGTCCTTTCTGTTACCGCAGTCCCATTATTTTCCAACCCGGGGATTTCGGGGCTCG